TTTAATTCCAGTACATGATGTTTTGATGTGGAATATCGAAAATCAAATAAAAAAAAACCAAAACCATGACACTAAGTGAGCATTTGGGTAAGGGATGGTGCAGCTCAGGAAGATCTGAGGAGGAACGGCTTATTTGGGGCTTAGCTTGTGCTTACTGAGCTCTATATAATACTATTCTGGAGAGAGAGAGTTTCCAAACTGAGATCCGAACCAAAAGGGGAAACCTCCAAGTCAATCTTGATCAATCGCAGGAGGCACCAGTATCAATGTCAGTTGCACCTGTGGAAGGCCAGAAGATATGAAGACCTAGGCAGAAGACCCCCAATTTTTGAACTGATTCTTGCACTTCAAAGATTGGAACAAAGATTACCACCATCCCATGCTTCCATATCAGCCATCTGCCAAATGGCAGAAAGACTAGATAGAATGGAGAAGAGCCAGGACGGCATGTGGGAGGAATTGTCCCTAGTGATCAATCGTGATGAACCTGTGGCAGTATCAGAAACACCCAATGAAAACCAGGATGATCAAAAGAACCTGGTGAAGGAGCTGGTCGAATTGATTGAAGTCTCAGCTATCAAAGGCAGACGCCCCCCTACTTGAGCAAAGGACCACAGTAAATTTATGTCTCGTGCTGCCCTGTGGAGCTACTTACGTGAGCATGGAGAGGATATGAAGAAGTGGCACAACGCACCCACTCCTGCACTACGAGCACGGGTGAGAGAATTACAAAGCAGATCAACCACCACTGAAGTTGCTCCCATTACTGCAGGTAACAAATACAAATAGAGGGGCCCTGCCTTCAGCTGGGGGGGGTGGGGAAGGGATAATAGAGTGTATTGGACTGTGTGGATTCGATGGCCTGGCACATCAGAACCACAGGAATATAAGGCACTGGTGGACACCGGTGCCCAGTGCACTCTGATGCCCTCAAGTTATAAAGGGACAGAACTGAATTATATTTCCAGAGTGACTGGGGGCTCTCGGGAATTGCCTGTGTTGGAGGTGGAAATCAGCCTCACTGGAAAAAACTGGCAGAAGCATCCTATAGTAACTGGACAGGAGGCTCCATGCATACTTGGTATAGATTAACTTAGAAGGGGGTATTTCAAGGATCCCAAGGGGTACTGATGGGCTTTTGAAATCACTGCTGTAGACACAGACAACATTACTGTGGAAAGACATTGCTGCCCAAACAAAAAATATGGTTATAAAGGTGTGTCATGGTTTTACATTTTTTGGTTTTCATTATTCCACGTGAAAACATCATGTACTGGAATTAAAGTGTTAATGCTCCAATTCCAGGTACCTATCCCTATACATTACGGAAGTCACGGGATCTGACCCTTCCGGGGGGGGCGGTCTCTTACTGCCTGGCAGTGGGTGCTGGAGGGTGGTTTCCTAGCCGTTCCAAGCTTTTCAGGTTTGACTCGGTCTCAGGAACTCTCTCTCTCTCCTATCTTATTTGATTTATTAGTCTCAATTTCAATTAGATTGTATTATATTGTGTTATCTTGCATTCTGGTATCATAGTTAGTAAAATAAGTTTACCTCCATAGATTGTTGCCGCTGTTTTTTTTTTCCCTTCCTTCCTTCCCATTTTGTGGTGCCGGGGGGGGTTGGGGGGGTGGGGGGCAGGGGACTACTGCCCCCCTGTCACGGGCAAAAATTGATCTAGTTAACTTCGTGACAAGGTGTGTCATGTAGATGCCCATGTGCCCAAGAGTCGGGTTACTGCAGAACAGCAAAATAACCATCAGGTAGACTGAGCTGCCAGAATTAAGGTGGCTCTAATAGACCTGTACTGGCAGAACAAGGGAGAGTTATTTCTAGCTTGATGGGCCCATGAGACCTCAGGCCATCAAGGGAGAGATGTGACATATAAGTGGGCTAGAGACCGAGGGGTGGACTTAACTAGGGACGCTATTGCACAAATTATTCATGTCTGTGACATGTGCACTACAATTAAACAAGCCAAGAGGATGAAACCTCTCTGGGGGGAAGGGCCATGGCAAAACTACAAATATGGGGAAGCATGGCAGGTTGATTTTATCACCTTGCCACAGTCTCACAATGCTATGTGTTATGTGCTCACCATGGTGGAGGCAACCACTGGGTGGCTTGAAACATATGCAGTACCCCATGCTACTGCCCGAAACACCATATTAGGTCTGGAGAGGCAAATCCTGTGGTTACATGGCACCCCAGAAAGAATTGAGTCCGATAATGGGACTCATTTCAAAAATTCACTTGTGGATACTTGGGCCAGAGAACATGGCATCGAGTGGGTTTATCATAACCCCTATTATGTACCACCCTCCGGCCCCGGCTCAGCATCTCAACTCACCGCGGGGAAAAGCATGTGCTTTCCCTCCCACTATCTTGGTTTGACTCGCATTTTGGATACTCTTGCCTCTCTCGTTTTGTTTGATTTAGTTAAATTCAGTAAATTACCCTTCCTCCTCAGATTGTTGCTGTTGTGTTTTCTCTTTGTTAAAACTATCTGCTAGCTCTCTGCCCTTCCCCCTCTCCCAGAGCGCACACGGCCCTGGGAAGGCTGGCTCGCGGTGAACTGTTTGTATCCCTTCCTCTTTTTCTCTTCTTCCCAGGACCTGTGCCCCCCCTGTCACAGACTTATATCTAAGGATAACCCCGTGACAGAACTGAAGGCGCACAGCTGGGGAGCACACCCGCACACTGCCAGGCAGCAGGAGAGAGTGAGTCCTGTGACTTGTGGGTCTTATCTTCCCCTCTGAATGCAAAGTCCTCTGGGGTATGTAGTTCTTTTCTGAGAGCCAGGTATCCAGAAAGTTGTCAGTCCACGGAATTGGAGTATTAACTCTTTAATTCCCTGAGCTTTACATGATGTTATGATGTGGAATACTGATAGTAAAAATCATAAAACCATGACACAGGAAAAAACTGAAGCACAGGTAGTTCCATACAAACATGCAAAAGAACTTTATTTTGATGGTGACAGAGCACTGGAACAGGCTGCCCAGAGAAGTTGTGGAGTCTCCTTTTCTGGAGATATTCAAGACATATCTGGATGCTTTCCTGTGCAAACAACTGTAGGGAACCTGATTTAGCACAGGATTTGGACTAGATTATTTTCAGAGGTCTCTTTCAAGCCCTACAATTCTGTAATTCAAATGAAAATCATTTGTTTGCCAGTACTGTTCTTTGCAGAATAGACATGCTTTTTGATTTTACTTGTTGACTACAGAGTGTATATGTTTGTTATTAGAAGGCAGGTACCACAATCAGACATTGTCAGCCTCAAGAATGACAGTCTTGGAATTGTTTCAATCAAATATAGGGATGCATCCACTGGGTCCCACAGACTGGAAGCATCATTTTAATAAAAGCTTGTTCTTTTTAATTTTCTCCCCCCACCTCTTTTCCCCAAAAGTTGGATTCAGACATATACTGAATGCAGCATATAATTGACAGATAGTGTATGATTATGATTCTATCAAAAGTAAATTCTTTTGGGTTGTACCAGTATGTTTTTGGTGAGTTGCATAGTGATATAAAATATAGGGAAGGAAAAAAATTATTTTCATCTCGTTCTGCAGAATTTTCTGTGATTATAGAAGTCTTTATATTTACTAGTCCTATGTGTTCTGATGGAAAGTTTCGTTGAAGCTTGATTTTAATAATAAAATCTGAAACACTGCATTTCATGTAGAAGTCTAATCTCTGAATAATTTACCTTGGATTTTATAACGAATCTAGTAGATAATATACCAAGAGGTATTATTGTCTGACTACCTTTGCAATGCTATATGCTTAAACTTCAAATTTCATCTCTGAAGATTGATCTTCATGTCTATATTACACTACTGTTTGGGAGAAATAACGTAGTTTCAACAACTGACTTGGGAAAAAAAAAAGATTTTTTTTTAAAGCAGGAATATATCAAAATACTGATCTGTTTAAAAAAGTGTAAGAAAATAATATATTCATTTGAGATGAGGGATAAGTTTCTCAGCAGTTATGTGTGTTTTTTCTTTTGTTTTGTAATTTTTTTTCCAGAGATCTTCAAAGAAATTGAACACTAAGTAGAAAACTAAATAGAGTCAGAAATGTTTGTCCTTTTGTACTGTAATTTGTTTTGAAATACATTTAAGGTAACTTTTTCTTTCTCATGTTATCTGTCTCTGCAGTTTCCAGTTCTTAGATGTTTTCTCTTTATAAGCAACATTTATTTAGTTTAATAATAGTTTCTCTCGGTTTCTTAATATTTTTATTACATTTTTTAATCTTCAGTGATAAATGATGCTATATATTCTTAAACTTTAGGCATGTCACAACTCATCCTTAACATGAGTGTTTTAACACATTGCAACAAGAATTCTAGTGGAAAGTATGATGTTTTTCTACTTACTATATACGTTATTGGAAACTTTTTTGCATTTTGCAGGTTTCAAAATAGCTGATTTCAGTTTTTACCAGAAATAATTCTATATATAGATGAAAACTCATTCTTTTTTTTCCTATCTATAATTGAAAGAATGATTAAATTCCTGTGCCTTTATTTTATCCCTGCTCAAAGTTGCTTTTCCAGGTATCACTTACATTTTAACACTTGTTTAAGAACATTAAAACTACTGTCCAGCTTCTGAATTGTTGAAAAAATTCAAATCCTGTTGATACTGTCAGTTTATGGAGGTAATGCTTCCTTTCTATTTCCATGACAACAACTACAAAGAGCACAATAACACTATGTGATTGAGCAAATCCTCGGCTACAAAACACTTTTTCTGCATAGTTAATGCTATTAGCTATGCATTTTCACCAGCGATGAACAAGAGCTTGTGTGCTGCTCATGTTAAAAAATAAAAGTGCACCAGCAGAGGTGACCCACATTATCATTCCTAGGAAAATGCTGTGCACTCAGTATATCTTTATATGACCTGAACAGATGGGAGTCAGAAGACTCTAAATCCAAAATATATGGTGGGCATGGTAGGTCAGTGCAGTCAAGAATGGCATGTGCTTCACATGCTTCAAACTGGTTTGGGGGGCTAGCATTGTGGTGTTTCAAGAGAAAGGTGGTCTTTTTCTCTGGCCTGACTCTGGAAGTTTGAGACTTTCCAATGCATAGAAGTCGATATTCAGCTCTGTACACAGTTTCCTGGTCGTAATCTGTGAATTAGCATGAATGAGCTGTTTGAGACACTCTTGATTTCATGGTGTGACAACTGTGCATGGCCATCAAGAAAGTGGCTTGTCTTCCAAGTCACTGTTGCCACTGCTGAAACACACCATTCACTATTTCACTGTGCTAACATCAACTGTTTGGTCTCCATAAAGGTTCAGCATATATCAATCATAGGATCATAGAATCACTCAGGTTGGAAAAGACCTTAAAGATCATCAAGTCCAACCACAACCTAACCATACTACCCTAACACTAACAGCCCTTTGCTAAATCATGTCCCTGAGCACCACATCCAAATGGCTTTTAAACGCATTCAGGGATGGTGACTCAACCCCCACCCTGGGGAACCTATTCCAGTGCTCAACCACCCTTTCTGTAAAAAAGTTTTTCCTGATATCCATCCTAAACCTCCCCTGGCGCAGCTTGAGGCCATTTCCCCTCATCCTGTCACCTGTCACAAGTGAGAAGAGACCAGCCCCACTCTTGCTGTAAGCACCTTTCAGGTACTGGAAGAGAGCAATAAGGTCTCCCCTCAGCCTCCTCTTCCCTAGACTAAACAGCCCCAGTTCCTTCAGTTTCTCCTTGTAGGGCATATTCTCCAAGCCCTTCACCAGCCTTGTTGCCCTTCTTTGGACCTGCTCCAGCACCTCCATGTCCTTTCTGTACTGAGGCGCCCAAAACTGAACACAGTACTCAAGGTGAGGCCTCACCACTGCCGAGTACAGGGGCAGGATGGCTTCCCTATTCCTGCTCACCACACCATTCCCGATCCAAGCCAGGGTGCCATTGGCCTTCTTGGCCACCTGGGCACACTGCTGGCTTATATTCAGCTGACTGTCCATCAGTACACCAAGGTCCCTTTCCATCAGGCAGCTTTCCAGCCACTCTTCCCCGAGCCTGTAGGGTTGCCTGGGGTTCTTGTGACCAAAATGCAGGACCCAACACTTGGCCCTATTGAAACTCATACAGTTTACCTTGGTCCACTGGTCTATCCAGGTCCCTCTGTAGTGACTTTCTCCCCTCAGGCAGGTCAACACTCCCTCCCAACTTGGTGTCGTCTACAAACTTACTGAGGGTGCACTCAATCCCCTCATCAAGATCGTTAATAAAGATGTTAAATAGAAGTGGCCCCAGTACCGAGCCCTGGGGGACACCGCTCATGACCGGCCGCCAGCTGGATTTAACTCCATTGATGGCAACTCTTTGGACCCGGCCATCCAGACAGTGTTTCACCCAGTGGAGCATACACCCATCCAAATCGTGGGCAGCCAGCTTCTCCACAAGAATGTTGTGGGGGACAGTGTCAAAGGCTTTACTGAAGTCCAGGTAGACCACATCAACAGCCTTCATCCACTAAGCGGGTCACCTTGTCATAGAATGAAATTAGGTTTGTCAGACAGGATCTACCATTCATAAATCCATGCTGACTGGGCCTGATCCCATGGTTGACCTTTAACTGGTCCATGATAGCTCCTGAGATTATGCGTTCCATAACCTTCCCAGGCACCCAGGTGAGACTGATAGGTTCGTAGCTACCAGGATCATCTTTCTGGCCCTTTTTGAAGATGGGCATCACATTTGCCAGTCTCCAGTCTGCCAGGACACCCCTGGTTAGCCAGGACTGCCAAAGAATAATGGAGGGTGGCTTGGCAACCACATCCACCAACTCCCTCAGCACTCTAGGGTGCAATCCATCCAGCCCCATGGACTTGTGAGCATCCAGCTTTCAGAGCAGGTCCAAAACCATCTCATTGTGGATTATGCAGGACCTATTCTGTTCCCCATCCCTATCTACCAGCACAGGGGGCTGTGTTCCCAGGGAGTAACAAGTCTTACGATTAAAACTGAGGCAAAGAAGGCATTAAATACCTCAGCCTTATCCTGATCCTTGGTTGCCGGGTTGCCCTTGGCATCCAACAAGGGATGGAGATTCTCCCTAGCCCTCCTCTTGCTGTTGATGTATTTATAGAAATATTTATTGTTGTCCTTGACCTTAGTGGCGATGTTCAGTTCTAGCTGGGCTTTGGCTTTTCTAATTTTCTCTCTGCACAGCTTCACTACGTACCTGTAATCATCATAAGTAGCTTGCCCGCTCTTCCAGAGACCATAAACTTTCCTTTTGCTCTTGAGTTCCAGCCAAAGACCTCTGTTCAGCCAGTCCAGCCTCATTGCCTGTCGGCACATCTTCTGTGACTTGGGACTTGGGTGACACTTCATAACATCATGTAGTGCACTGGGAGTTAAAGAGTTAATGCTCCAGTTCCATGCATTGTCAATAGTTACAGGTATACCTTACTCAGAACTACAAATCCCAGAAGACTTCACTGTTCCAAACTAAAACATAGTTTTAGAACAAACCTCTCTGTATTCTCAGAGAACTTAGTAAGAAAGCTTATCAGTACTGCTGGATTTATCAAGGACTACCTTGAAGTCCAGGTGAACTACCAATACACTGGGAATTTTGCAAACTCTGACTGTTGTGCTGTAAA